TTCCTAATTTTTTTTTCTTCCTTTAAAAAAGGGTTTCCACTAGGACCAACTAAAACTCTCTAATATATTCTGCTTTATGGTACTATTCCTCCTACCACAATCTCTGTGTTGGCCTAGTTGCAGTCAATGCTGCGAAAAGTTGTTGAAAAGAGCAATTTGAATGTACTAACCTGCAGTTACTTCTGGCATTTGTCCTGGCTCTTTGTGCTGAGGGAGGGAGTGAAAATTGCACCATTATTTAATTGAAACAAAGCATCCCTCCGACTAAGCTAAATCCCACAATGACTTCATGGGCAGCTCCTTGCTGTTTTCTTAGCAATTGTATGGGATAGTTTGCATTGTCATCTTTTAAGACTTCCCAGTCTTGATTGCCATCCTGGGATTACCTGGTTGTCTCCCAGCCACGTACTACCCAAGCCCACGTCTGCTTAGCTTTTTCAAGATCAGCCAAGATTTGAGGAGTGTGAGAAGTTTGGATCAAAATATATTTTATTCTTTACACTGTTTCCATCTTCCCTTAAAATATTATCAGAATCCACAATGGACTGAGAATCAGTGTCTCCACTAGGAAAGTGACAGTCAAGCTGAAGTTAAGTTAATCAATTAAAAATAGCAAACGGGAGGAAAAAATATAACTTCCCCAAACCCCCCCCCCCCCCCCAATAAGTTACCCAGACCTAATCCATATAGGATAAGGTCTGTAAACACAAAGAGAGTTAATTAAATTAGGTATCCCAGTGGAACTGCATATTCACAAGAATAAACATCATAGATGACATACATACATATAGATGCCCTTCAAGGATCATCCTAGAATCAGCAGGTAGACACTTGCACACCTAGGACAAGCTCCCCAATAAAACTCTACCCCATTTCTTTTCAGCTGGCCCTAAAGGCGAACTCTTTGCTTTTAGGAATAAATATTTCTTCTTTCCTCACATCTATCTGGACCTCATTTTTATTTATTTATTGTGCAATCCCGGCTTAAGTTGGAACCCCAAATTATTCTTCTGACAGTAGGTGTCACCACTTCAGGGGAGATGGCCCAGTAACTGTGGACCAATGTTTTTCAAATGTGACAACTTTAAAAATGTATGGACTTCAATTCCCAGAATTCCCTAGCCAGCTGGCTGGGGAATTCTGGGAATTGAAGTCCATACATCTTGAAGTTGTCAAATTTGAGAAACAATGCTTCTTAAATACCACCAGAGGATTAGTAGGAAGATAACCGCTTTTATGTTGGAATTGTGGATATCCAAAAAGGTACGACCTACGTTGCTTTTTTTTTAAACAGCTTTGATATTTGTTCCTTCTATGGATATTTTTTTTTCTAGCATTGCTGAAAACCACTTTGGAAAAAGCCACAACAGCATTTAAACACCTACAAACAGCAACATAGCATCTGTTGGAAATGTCTTACATTAAGAATTTCTTGAATGTTGTATATAAATTGTATTTGAAAAACACGCTTTGGAAATAGTTTGTACATTATTTCCTGATTTATACTTGATATTTAGTGTTAATATTTCTAACTGTTAATAACAAGATATCTTAATGTGTGGTGATTTTTATGTATTGATGTGAAAACGAGGCAATGCCAGCATTTTAACAGTTTCATTACTTGTACCATATTTTCTGTTTTGTAATACAGAATGTTAAAATACACTTTAGGTTTAAAAGACTGGATTGTGAAGCCAAGCCATGGCACTTTTTCATATGACGGAAAGACTTTTAAAAGGACTGGTGTAATCATATTTGAAGTCTGTCTTTGTTTTTTTTTTTAAATTGCAGATTTAATGAAAATGATACATAAACTACATTCTATTTATAATCGGAAATATTTCAAGTAAAGATTGCATGAGAAAAAAAAAGCATCAATGTCACTTTTCAAGATGTAAAATTGTAATTATCAAGGCCAGGCTTCAACATTTCCCTTAAGCAGAATAACTTTCAGAAGTGTCATCTGGAGCAGAAAAAAAATCCATTCCTAGAATTTTCAACATCTTTGCAGGGCCACAGATTTACTAGTCATTTTGGAGAAAGATAGTATCCTTTGAAATGGAGGTTAGACAGCTATTTGGGATGTTTTTGTCTGATTTCTGCCCTGAGCCTGGGGTTGTACTTGGCCTAAAGCAGTTTTTTTTAAAAAAAGAACTTGGCAATTTAAGATGTGTAGACTTAGACTTTCAAAATCCTCCGGACTGCATTTTGGCTGGAAGATTCCAAGAGTTGAAGTCTGCAAATCTTAAAGTTGCAAATTTGAAAAACACTAAATTTGAAGGGTACTTATCTGGGTTATTTAAGTGTTCTTGCCGTTTAGTATAAAAACTTTGCAACAGACTCACTGAAGAATGAACAAAATGAACCAAAAAATGTGCCAGCAGAAAAAGTCTCAAGGCAGCATCCCTCCCCCACCCCCCCAAAAAAAGATTTGGAAAACATAAATGATTTGCAAGAGTAGCATCAAATGCTTTTCAGCTTTACCAACTTTAAGATGTCAACTCCCAGAACGTCCCAGCCAGCATGGAGAATTCTGGGAATTTAAGTCCACACATTTTTAAAGTTGCCAAGGTTGAGAAGAGTGGTTTAAGCAGGTTGAGAGAGAGAATCCTAGGTCATAGCTATAATGGATTAATTGGGTCTTAATTAATTACAGGGCCAAGTGCATGATTGTCCTCAATTTAAATTTAGATATAGGCCTCTTTTCCTATAGACCCCCCTGGTCATTGTATCTATTTATATTAGGTGAACTGGACATAGATTGATAATGAATATTGTGATAGGCTTGAGAAACTGCCCATCTTTTTCAAACTAGGCAACATATACCATTGTTCTTTGAAAGGTTATTAACTTAGTCCAGTGAGTGGGAGTGATTAATTTTTTTCAGATATCACAGCAGTTGGGAAGCTAAGTGCATTCCTGGCCACCCACACGTAAAAAATAAATCACACAATTTTTCCTCCATTAGTTCCTCATGACAGGCCGGTGGGAGTGAGATATGGGAAAACAATACTTCTGATTTGCAACAACCACAAAAATGAAGGCTACCTTTGCAGTCGGCTGGGAGTGATTTGAGGACAGCTTGTTCTAGTGGTTAAGGCACTAGGCTAGAAAGCAGGAGAGGCCATGAGTTCTAATTCCATCTTAAGATGTGGAAAACTGGCTAGGTAACTTTGGGCCAATCACCAGGAGACAGTGAGTTCTAGTCCCGCATTAGGCATGACTGCCAGATGGTTGTCTCCAATCACTGGGAGACTGAGTTCTAATCCTGCCCTAGGCATGAAAACTGGGTGAGGCCAGTCACTATCTCAGCCCAACCCAATTCACAGGGCTGTTATTGTGGGGAAAATAGGAGGAGGAAGGAGTATTAGATATGTTTGCCACCTTGAATTGTTTATAAAAATAATAAAGGCAGAATATAAATTAAATAATTATGCATTTTTCCTGTGGATAAATGGTAGTTGCCTGTCCTTGCATAGGGCATCAGATGAGTAAAGTGGAAGGATAAGGATTTCTCTCTCTGGTTCTTTACTGAACTTAGTTTTCTTTATTTGCAGATGTGCCACAGCCAAATTGCAAAATATCCTATCCTGCTTTCAGCTGCCTATTCTTGCCTTCACCAATATCCTTTGTGAGAAAATACTAGCAGGCATATGTGTGTAACATTCCAAATCATAGTTTTATCATGGCTTCCCAAACGGCAATCAGATAAATTAAGCCATAATTTATTTGTGGTTGATCAAACAGCACTGTATGTACAATTTCTTAATCCCAAATAAGCGAAATGGATGTTTGCAACTAACTTTGGCTACACATTGCTCTGTGTCTTTGTACAAACCCAGTTAAGTATAATTTTTGTGCAAAAAAAATAGAGTTGAATTAACACAGTGTGCCTCATTTAACCACAGGTTAGCACAGGGGTCCCCAAACTTGGCAACGTTAAGACTTGTGGACATCAACTGGCTGGAAATTGTGGGAGTTGAAGTCCACAAGTTGAAGTCTTAAAAGTTGTCAAGTTTGGAGACCTCTGGGTTAGCATGTTGTATAAATACAGCCCTTATAAAGGTAGTTGGTGAAGTTTACCTAACAGGTTAGTTTGTGGGTGAATCGGAGATTTTGGGGAGTTGGTCCAAACTATCTACAGGCATTCCATTCTGAAGAAGTCAGGGGTTTGCCACCACTTTCTTCCAGGAGGGAGATCAATCCTGGAGAGATTTGGATGAAAGACCATTAGGATTTCTAGCTGCTATTTATATTCCAACTCCTATTGTAGGGGAGACCAGTAGGATTTCCTAGTGGTCTCCTATCCAAATAACTGCTAGCTTTCTCGCAATTGGGTCATAGTGGCCTGCCACCTAGCTGGAGTGGCAAACGCTAGTCCTTCCCCCAAATAATTAAATGTACATAATGCAGTGTTTCTCAACCCTGGCATCTTTTAAACCATGTGGACTTTAATTCCCAGAATTCAATATTGACTAGGGAATTCTGGGAATTGAAGTCCACATATCTTACAGGCTGAGAAACTCCAGCAGAATTCATAGGGAACACTTAGCGTTTCCTTTGCTATCAGGTTCTGCCAATTTCTGCGCAGCTTCCTTTCCTGAAACAAAGTACCTGGCCTCCGCCTTGACAAAGCTCCTCCTCACTTCTGCTAACCCCACCCTGGGTGCTTTTCTTATCCAATCACAACGTCGCGCCTGCTTCTTTCCCTCCAATCCCGTTTCCCCAGAGAAGCGGTGGGGTGAGAGAGAGAGGGGGGGGGAGGAAAGGTAGCCTCGCGCGACCCTTGCAACCTCTCTAGCGCTAAACGGCGCCTGCGCACGCGTATCATACGGACTCCACAGCTTTCCTGTCTCCTGTTTTTCCTGCGCGTTGGATCTGCGCCTGCGCAGAAATCTCTTTCCCCCCCCCTCCCGCCTTGCTCCCGCTAAAGGCGGTCGCTCAGATTCTCTTTCTCGGTCGCCCTTTCCTCGACGCGCAACTTTTTGACGTCACGGCGCGCGACGCCGAACTCTGGAGCGGGGGAAGAAGGCTCCTCTGAAAACGGCTGCGCGTGAATGAAGCGGGAAAGTTTCCCCACCTCGGCCGTCTCGTGCCTACTCCGTCCCTTGTTCTATGGAGGGGGAGGGAGCGGGGACGCAACTGAGGCGCTGTTAAAAGCAGAGGAGATGCAGTAAGCCAAAGGGGGAAGGCAGGCTCCCAGTTTGCATTTTCGGTGACTAGGGGAGGTATCGAGGGGTGAGATGGGAGACGCGTGGAGGTGAGAAGCTGTCAGACGTGTTCCTTCTCCCTCTGCCTCCCTTTATTCCCGTCTTTGGGGGGACTTGAGGCTTCCCAGGTAACTTTTTGTATTGTATTGCTAATTAGAGCTTATAAAACTTAGGGTAGACCAATTTTAGAGTATTGTTCAATTATTGGGAATCCCCACCATATCTGACCTCGGTACAATTGAGGGGGTTCAGAAGTACTTCATGAGAAAAGTCTTGCACTCTTCTTAAAATATTTTTATGATGCATTTTCCTTTATAATACATAATATTTTCAATTTTACATCAACAATCCGTCTCATTCCTTCTCCTTCCCTCCCTTCCCTTCTCCCCTCCGCTTCCCTCTCCTTCCCTCTTTCCTTTTCCTCACCTACCTTCTCCTTCCTTCTCCTTCCCTCTTTCCTCTCTCTTCATATTTTCAAGTTTGCATTGACTATCTCTTTCCACCTCTTTCCTTCTTCCCTCCCTTCCTTTCTCCCCTCCGCTTCCCTCTTCCTTTTTTCTTGCACTCTTCTGTACACAATAGAATTCCCTAAGCTACCAGGCCTGAAATTCTCAGTTTGGATAACTTAGAACCGCGTTGCTTGCGGTCAGACCTAAGTATTGCATACAAAATTATACATGTTAATGTTTTACCTGTAAATGTATTTTTCTGTTTTAATCGCAATAATCCACATGCAAACAACTGTTTTAAACTCAATTGATACCGAAGGAGAGTGCAGATACCACCCACATAAAAAATTATAGACCAATTTCTTTATTGTATACCGATTACAAAATATTTATGAATATAATGGCTGAGAGAGTGAAAAAAATATTAAGTAAACATATACATACAGATCAAAATGGTTTTCTTCCAACAAGACAACTAAAAAACAACCCAAGGACAGTATTAGATGTCTTGGAATATTATGACGTACATCCAGAAAAACAGGTCGCACTAGTTTTTCTGGATGCTCAAAAAGCCTTTGACAAAGTAAATTGGCAATTTATGAGTCAACAAGTAAAGGAGATGAAATTTGGGAATAAATTTGAGAAAAATGTTAGATTCAATATATTCAAGCCAAGAAGCACAGGTAATAAACTCAACTGAAATCACTCTAAACTTGACTGTAAAAAATATGATTTCTCTAATAGAATTGTCAAAGTCTAGAATGCCCTACCTGATTCAGCTGTGTCAAATGCAAATTTTCACAGTTTCAATCACAAAATGACTTCCGTGGACCTTACTTCGTACTTAAGTGGTCAGCAGATGGGGCGTGCAAAAGTGTACTAACATGCCTTTCGTCCCTGTCATTGTATTTTTATTCTCTTATTCTTGGTCTCATTTTTGTTTGTCAAATTCCAATAAATAAATAAAAAACCTTGGCCTACATCCCCCTTTCTGAACCTCAGTCTTACAATTCTTGGGAGTTGGAAGTCCACTCATTTTCAAAAGTTGCTGAGGTTGAGAAACACTGGTCTACCTTGCAGGGGTGTAAACATGGTTGAAATAATTTCTGTCCAAGGAACCTGGAGCCCTTCCAGCCAGAAATTGAATACACGTGAATGAGAAAAAAGAAAAGATTTACTTAACCACACCACAAAGTGAGGGATAATCCTGCTACTTTTGAACCCACAAAAACTTTAAATTTATCTTCTTTTCTCAGTTGCAGCTTGTGTCGCTTGCCAATGTAGGTAACAATATTGGAGCAAGTCTTTTGCTACTTCTACTAGGCTTAAGTATGCATGGTATAAAGTTGATACTAAATGTTGCAGCTGGAAGAAAAAGTTTTTTTTTAATGTATTTTACATATAACTGGTCTGTTTTGCCTTTCTGTGTAAAGTTCCACAACAATAATAATATTTTTGAGAAAGTGTTTTGAAAGTTTTTTCTCATGCTTTTACAACCGCTGAAAATAAAAAATGGAAGCAACTGGTCTTTCTAAGAAGTAGCAGTTCATTTTTGTTCCAGATGTGGTACAAATTATGTGTATGCTCTTTGGCATATCTTAGTTATATGTCTGTCTCTTACTGTTTTCTTTTCCTTCTAGGCAATATGCTACTAATAATGGTCAGAGCTTGTTTGGAAAGTCAGTGGAGGCCAGTTTATTCCCAAATACATAGTTGCTTACTACAAAAGCAGATTAAAAACTGGCACAGGAGTCTTAGCATAACAAACACACAATGTTCAAAATCGCAGAAAACCTGTAAAGGAAATAAATCTGAGAAGAAGCTGGTAAAGTAAACAAATTTTTGGATTAATTACAAATATGTAACCTCTATGTCTTTCTAAGCTTTTCTTAACTACTTTTAAAGTCTCTTATTTCTCTTCCAGAAAGCACAAATTTATGAAAAAATAGAAATAATTAAATAGATTTAAGCATTTAGATGAGAATCCTGACACAAGTTTTCAATATCCCTTGCAAGCAAATGTTCTCCTGTGTTTAAGGTGTAGAATTGTATAGATAGATAGACTAAGGTTTCAATTCTCTACATATATAATCTACTGAATTTGGGATTTTCCTTTGAATAAAAATAATTGTTGTATATATTATTTGTATTTGCATCCTATTCTCTTTTTTTTGGAACACAATGTACATTGTTCTCACTTTTAATCTTGCTTCAATATTATGAGATAATAAATTACGAGAAAATAAATAAGGTAATAGTGACTGACCGAAATTCATCCATCTGGAATTCGCTTAACATCTTCTGATAGAGTTCTATAATATCCAAGCTTTTGAATTCAAATATAAAAAAAATGAAATGTAAGAAAACAGTGTCAAATTTTCACTTTAGGCTTTATTAGTGCTGATTTCCTTGTAGCTAAATTGTATCATTGGTTTGTTTCATTTGGAATATCATAGGATAGCTGTGTTAGTCTGTAGTAGCCAAAAACCAGAAGAACTGCAGTAGCCCTTTTTCCAACTTACACATCTTATTAAAAGGCATGCTTTTGTGAGCTGCAGCGTGCTACTAGGCTCTGTTTGACTATAAATGTAGACATCTCTTCTGAGTCCCAAGGTTATGTTAATTGTTACTGAATAAATCCCTTTCTCAGGAGAGAGGTCTCTTAGTGAACTTTGGCTTATGTGAGAGATTTCAAATTGTTGATTTTATAAATCCTTTTGGCAACAGTAAGCACGCAAAAGAGGCATGTGTGAGTCTAAATAATATGGTACTGAATACTGCAGCAATGTTCAGTTTCACCACTTGGTGATGCTATGCAAACTTGAGAAAGGATGTACAAGCAATCCTTGACTTACGATCAGAATTGAGCTAAAAATTCATGTTGGTAAGTAAGACATTTTTAAAATGAATTTTACCCCATTTTACAACCTTTTTTGCCACAGTTGTTAAGTGAATAACTCAGCTGTTAGTGGCACAGTTGTTAAGTGAATCTAGCTTCCCCACTGCTTGTCAGCAGGTCGCAAAAGAGGATCATGTGACCCCGGAAAACTCATGAGTCAGTTGCCAAGCATCTGAATTTTGATCATGTGACCATGGGGATGCTGCAACAGTCATAAGTGTGAAAAACAATCATAATTCACTTTTTTGAAGGTCGTTGTAACTTTGAACAGTCATTAAATGAACTGTTGTAAGTCGTCGACTACCTATATTTAAGGTAGGAACTATCACAGTTGAACGTATAGCTGGCCATCTATATTTTGTTCATGAAAGAAGCCAGCATTCTTTTAAAAATCCAAAATACTTTTTCCAGGTTATTTGTTTGTTTTTTGCTAATTGTCGTGTAACAAATACTTAGCTCTTTTTTTTGTGAAAAGGAATAAAGAATATCAGAAGTGATATGTTATAGCAAGATAGAAGTGCTGAAAATGAAACCAGGAACAAAGTTTTTTTCCAGTGAAGATGTAAGGAGATTGCTAAATGTTTTTCTTGTAAGAAAGATAATATATTTTTTATTATGCTATGGTCAGGGTTAGTTTTAGGCAGTTGTCATCTTGGGATGTCAGGAATTAATGCCAAAATTTCAGCTTCACTAAATTTCTTCTCAACATTTGGTGGAAAATGTGTGTGTATGTGCACATGAGTAATCCTTGTTTGAGATCACCATGTCTTTTAGAAAATTTGTGCTCCTTTAAAAACATGTCAAGGCTTGGATTTGTACACAGCCCAGTTTCTCCCCCAACTTTAAATATTTTTACCAATCGCAGTATTCATCAGATCAATCCTCAATAGAAGCCCTACATGTTTCCTCAAGAATTGAACATAAATGAGTATGTTTAGAACTGAAGGACTTTAAACTTCACAAGTGATTAGCATCTCTGAATAATGTGTCTCCCATTCCAGAGTCGATATTTTGTCGATCGCCGAAAGGTTCATGTGATAGGAGGGAAAGGAGGAGATGGTATTGCTTGTTTTCTCAGTGAACCTAGAAAAGAATTTGGAGGTCCCAATGGAGGAGACGGAGGAGATGGGGGACATGTTATATTTAAAGGTAAGAAGGTTACTATCTCTTGTACAGAGCTTTTCGGTTTTAAGACAGTCTTATGAAAAGGGGAAGGAGAGTGACTGAAACTCCGCTAACCTGTCCCTTAGCAAGTTGAGTTTGAATGACAGAATTGATAAAAGTTTTTGTCCCAAGAGAGACTCCTGGGGTGGGGGGTGGGGAATAAGGACTTTTAAAGTGTTGCAGAACTGCAATAGTCCATCTGATAACTGTCTATGTTGGTTCTTAGTTAATTTGTTGTCAGTGACCACACTGAATGAATATTCAGTGCTTTCAAGTCATGAATCCCTGAATTTTTTTCTTCCTTAAATGTTATTAATTCAAACACATTTAATAAATAATTTTAATCCATTTAATAAATGTAAACTAATAATAACAATTTACAGTTCTTCCTATGGAAGGGTATTTTGTTTCTCAGCGAGCATTCAGCCTGTTTCTTTTAGATGTCTATGGAGATTCTCAATCATCCAGGTCATGGTTGTCCCAAAGGTGCTTTTTCAAGAGGCAGCTAGACTTACTTTGTTTTTCTTTGAAAACATTTTGCTTCTCATCCAAGAAGCTTCTTCAGCTCTGACAGTCAGAGCTGAAGAAGCTTCCTGGATGAGAACTGAAACATCTTCAAAGAAAATCCAGAAAGTCCAGCTGCCTCTTGGAAAAGCACCTTTGGGACTGTTTATTTTAGATTGCAATCTCATTCTATCAGTCTAAGGTCAGTGTGATGGCTCAGTGGTTAAAGATGCTGTGCTTGTCAGCTGGAAAGCTTGAGTACCGCACACAGGGTGAGCTCCCATTACTCACCCCAGTTCCTGACAACATAGCAGTTTGAAAGCATGCAAATGTGAGTAGATTAATAGGTACCACTTCAGCAGGAAAGATTATTACGTTTTATGCTTTCATGCTGGCCACATGATGATGGAAGCGTCTCTTAGACAATGAAGCTCTCTCAGCTAAGAATCAGATAAGCACTGCCCCCTTGAGTCGGTCATGACTGGGTAGGGAAATCTTTAAACTTTTTTTATCTGCCTGCATCACATCTTTTTTGCCATGAGCAAATTTGACAATCCATCAGTCCCATTATCCTCCCATGTGTCTAGTCTAGTCCAAGGTTCTGGACTTTAAAGGGTCAAAAGATTTTCTCTCTGTAATAAGAAAAAAGGCTGGCAAGAGGTGGCAAGAAGATCTCAAGATTGGCTGACTCTCTCTGCTATTCTCTTGTATGATTTCAGCTGTTGATAGAAAGGACTTCAAGTAAGGCTTATCTTCACCCTTTAAAAGATTTCTAGCCTGAGCCAAAAGTAGTCTAGATAAGTTTGAGAAAAATGGGAGGCAAACGAGATGGACAATTTTGACAAACAAAGCCAAGAAGAGAGAAAAAAGAAAGCACATAACTGGGTGGAGTAAATAGCGTTTTTTCCCACCTCATTGTAGTTGTGCTTTTAAAGATGTAGCAATGTTTCGGCAGAATCTCATCTGCCATCATCAGGCTTCTGTATAGTGTTCATCTGTGAGTCAGGCTTTTATAGTGGTTTCAGATTTAAATTTGGGGCAGCCTATTGCTGTGCCAGAATGGTTTTTTCTTCATCCTGATTGGTTGGGAGTCTTGGTCTGTGTTTATTGGTCTTGGAGTTTGCTGTGTTCTGCTTGATTGGTGTTTCTAATATCTTCTGTCTGTTTTGTGGCTCTTTTTGTATCTTGATTGGCTGGCAACATTGTGTTCCTTTATTAGAGGCCTTTAGTGCAGCTTGGCTCCAGGTAAATGGACGGCTATCATTAGTTAGGAAGCTAGGTTTCATCTGGGTGCCTGGTTGGGGTGTGTTTGAGCTGGAGGTATCAGTGGGGATCTGTTTGTGCCCAGGTGCTTGTCTGGCTAGTGGTGTGGAGATTTTTTTGTTTGTGAGTGCAGGCTTCCAAATGATTGACAGTCTGGTGGAATCATCTCTTCTATTCATGCTTTCAGGTCTTTTTTCAATCTCTATGGCTTCTCTGGTGATCCTGTGGCTGGGGTTTCCTATAGTGGCTAGGGTTTTGGTGCCATTGAAGTTGATGCTATGACCTGTGGCTTCCATGTGTTGGACTAGTGAGGAAGTGTGTTCCAGCTTTTTGACTGCATTTTTGTGTTCATCCAGGCAGGTACTTATTCTTCTACTGGTCTGTCCAATGTATGTGGCCGGGCATGATGCACAGGGGACTTCGTATATGCCTTGGTTTTCCAGGTCAATTTTATCTTTGGGGTTTCTAAGGATGGCTTCTATTTTTCTGTCTGTTTTGAAGTCTTGATGTGATGCCTGTGTAGTATCTAACTGATTTTGTCTGTAATACCTCTTATGTAGGGCAGGACAGCTGTTCCATAGGTCTGTTCATCTTCTGGGTCTCTATTATGTCTCAGTGTGTTTTTGTGGATCAAGCCGGTGATTTTGCTTTTGTGGAAGCCGTTGGCTGTCAGTACCTTAGTCAGGGTGCATAGTTCAGTCTTAATGTGTGTCTTGTCTGCCAGGCGTTTGGTTCTAGCAATTAGTGTTTTAGCCACGGAGTTTATCTGTGCTGGGTGGTGGTGGGATTGGACATTGAGGTAGTGGTTGGTGTGTGTTTTCTTCTGGTATACGGTGTGTCCTAGTGTGCCATCTGTTTTTTTGTAGATTAGTACATCTAGGGATGGTAGTTGTTTGTTTGTTTCCATTTCCATGGTGAACTTGATTTTGGGGTGTGTGCTGTTTAGGTGTGTTAGGAAATTATTCAGGTTTTCTTTTCCATGGGGCCAAATCACGAATGTGTCATCGATGTATCTTAACCATAGTTTGGGTTTGTGGATGGCATTGGCCGGGGCTCTGGATTCGAATTCTTCCATGAACAGGTTTGCAATGACGGGTGACAGTGGGGATCCCATGGGGGCTCCTTCAATTTGTTTGTATCTTTGTCCTTTGTATATGAAATATGTGTTGGTTAAGCAGTGTTCTGTTAGTTCCATGAGGTGTTTAGCTGGTTGGTATTTGTTTTTGATGATTTCAAGGGTCTCTTTTATCGGGACTTGAGTGAATAGTGAAACCACGTCGAAACTTACAAGCAGATCTTCTTGCTTCACGTGTAGATCTTCAATCATTTCCAAGAAGTGGTATGAGTTTTGAATAAAGGAATAAATCAAGGAACATTAAGCAGTATGTATGTCAATGGACTCAGGACCCTCATTCTCAAGTGCATTGTCAGCATCAGCCATTCAGTCGTGTCCAACTCTCAGCATTGGACCAGCAATTTCCATGCCCTCTATCTCCCACAGCCTCCTTCAAATTCTCCATCCTGATCTTAAGTGCAGGCAGGCATCTTATAGATTTTATAGATTTTGAATGTACTGAATCAAAGACACTTCACTAAATCAAAGATATTTCCTTATAGTAATAAAACATTGGGCTGTCCCAAAGGCACTATAACGTGCAAAATAAATGCTTTAATAGATGGAACAGAAGTGCTTTGATCTATTTTGTTCCCATTTTGTGAGAACATCTAATCTAAGTGCTTCTTTCAGAATAGTTTGCTTGCTAAATTCAGCTCTTAAAACCAACATTCAGTTCCCGGAATTTTTTAAAGTTTGTTTGGTATAGATTAGAATCTTACGAAGATTTTGCTTTGTTTAGGTTCTTATGTCATCCGGCTGGGTGAATTTGGGCCAGTTGTTTTCTCTCAGTTCACCTCACCTCACAGGGTGGTTGTTGTGGGTAAAGTAGGAGGAGAAAAAAGTATTAGGTGTGATCACTGCCTTGGGTTACTTATAAAAATAAAAAAGGCAAGGTAAAAATGGTTTTATTTATTTATTCATTTGTTCATTCATTCATTTCTCTTGATGTAGCCTTACGATAAAGTAGATTTAGTTCATCTTCTCATTCGCTTTTATATATATAAAAGCAAATAATTAAAAGCATGATCACTACAATTACAAAATGCAAGATAAAATATAAAGGGGAGCAGATTTTAAAAATCCAGTAATTCAAATAATAAATCTGCTTACAGTCAGTTCTCATTAAAATGGCCTATAAGCCCACTACATATTTATAAATATGTAAATAAATGAGGTAAAATAAAAGAACACATCAATGTCTTAACAGGTGGACTTTGGTTTAATTCCCACATAAACAAGAATGAATGTTGAGAATTTAACTGCTAAAACAATGGGATCATGAATTGTAATTATAACTGTTGTTGACATTGAGAATTCTTAGTGAATACAATAAAATATGAATTGCAGTTTGTCTGCTTAAATACAGTGATTTAATATTTTGAAGTTGGTGATCATAGGGTTATCTTTGCAAAAGTTTATATGAACACTTTTTTCATTTAGGGAAAAGAACAGCTGGTATATCAGAAGGTAAAGAACAGATGAGATACTCAGCATTTGGTGTGAAATAAAAACATAAGATTTGGCATGTGCTCCTATCCAGGAAACAGTTTATTGATTCATAATTAATCAACACGGGGTTTTTCTTTAAAAAAAGAATTGTTCGTTAGCGTGTTAAATTGTAACATATTTTGTTTTTACAGTGGATCAGCAAATCAAATCCTTGTCCTCCGTCCACCCATTTTATAGAGGCTTCAGTGGGGAAAAAGGAGGAAGCAAAAACTGTTATGGAGCATCTGGCAGGCCCCTTTATGTTAAGGTAAATTGTTGATACTTGTTAGATGGTCAAAATTTTGAATTTGTAAAAGCTGAATGGCTAATGTCCCACATTTGGAAGACTGCTAAGCAGCTATTTGCTCATCAATAGAAGCAAACAGCCATGGGTGGTAAATTCCTAGCTGTATTTTACTTAAATTTATCTTTGTTTTGTAGATACCTATTGGTACCATGGTTAAGGAAGGCACTAAGGTTGTAGCTGATCTCAACCAACCCGGGGAAGAATACGTTGCAGTCTATGGTGGAGCTGGTGGCAAAGGCAACCGTTTCTTTCTGGCTAATGACAACCGAGCACCGACAACTGTGACTTCAGGAGAACTGGGTCAGGAACGGTTCCTTCACTTGGAGCTCAAAACTGTGGGCCATGCAGGGATGGTAAGTGTGTTTGGTTTGTTTTTCAGTATGATGGTTAACTTTGAAGAAACAAATATTTATGTCAGGAATGTTGGAACATGGGAGATACGTATGCAGGTTTTAAAAATGTACTCCTTGAAAAAAAGCCAATGCAATCCTAAATTGCCTTAAAAGAGGGATACAATCAAGATCAAGTGAGGTACTAATACCACTCTATAAAGCCTTAGTAAAACCACACCTAGAGTACTGCATCCAATTTTGGTCACCACACTATAAAAAGATGTTGAGACTCCAGAAAAAGTGCAGAGAAGAGCAACCAGGACGATTAGGAGGCTGGAGATTAAAACATATGAAGAACGATTGCGGGAACGTGGCATGGCTAGTCTAGTGAAGAAAAGGACCAGGGGAGACAGGATAGCAATCTTCCAATATTTGAGGGGCTGCCACAGAGAGGAAGAAGGGGTCAGGCTATTTTCCACCCGAAGGCCAAACAAGGAATAATAGATAGAAACTGAACAAGGAGAGATTTAACCTGGAAATAAGGAGAAACTTTCTGACAGAACAATCAACTTATGGAACAGAAGTTGCCTTTGGAAGTTGTGGGAGCTTCATCACTGGAAGCTTTCAAGAAGGGATTGGATTGCCATTTGTCAGAACTGGTGTAGGTCTCCTGCTTGGGTGAGGGGTTAGACTAGATGACCTACAAGGTCCCTTCCAACTCTGTTAATCTGTTAAACATAAACCCAGAATAATTAGGTGCCTCCTTCCCCAAATTGAAAAACTAAGTGAGGGACAAATGAGGAAAATTTATGTGGTCGCTAAGAATTGAAAACCTGATGACACATAATTCATAACATCTGCTTCTTGAGTTTTGCTTGAAATTCTTGGTTTAGAGATAATTAACAATCAGACTAACAACAACTGGGTAACTTGGGAGTGGGAGGGTAGGTGTTGGTGCTTTGCTTTGCCATTACACCTAGTCCTTGACTTAAGGATCACAACTGAGACCAAAATTTCTGTTGCTAAGCAAGGAAGATGTTAAGTGCCTTGAGCCCTGTTTGATGACATATTTTGCCACAATCGTTAAGTGAATCACAACGGTTGTTAGGTGAATCTGGCCTTCCCCCATTGGGCTTTGCTGAGCTTTCTGGGAAAGTTGCAAATGGTCATCATGTGACCCCAGGATACGGCAACCTTCATCAATACATGACAGTTGCCAAACACCCAAATTTTGATCATATCACCGTGAGGATGTGGGAAAAAAATGGTCACAAATCGCTTTTTCCAGTGCCGTTGTAATTTTGAACGCTTACTGAATGAATGATTGTAAATCAAGGGCTACCTGTATTATGTTTTTCAGCCTGTAAAACAAATGGCTGAAGGGATGAAGGTCCAAAAGGTTGGTGACCCCTGAACTAGATCATTAAATCAAGCCTATTTAAAACAAGGAAAAAATAGGAAAGCTGCTAAATTCGTGTTCTATTTTGCCAGTAGAATTAAATGTCATGTTGAAGGCAAATGCTACCTCTCTTTCCAATTGGGCTCTTAATTCCAGATTGGATTCCCCAATGCTGGGAAATCGTCCATCTTGCGAGCAATCTCCAGAGCAAAACCCGCCGTGGCTCCTTACCCATTCACAACCCTGAATCCTCACGTAGGCATTGTTCGCTATGAAGATTACGAGCAAATTGCAGGTACGCCTTTATATTTCCTTCTGGGTTTTTTTTTATGACCTTCATGGTATTATTTCCTTCTGGAAAAAAAAAAATAAAGCATTTTGTGACAGCGATTTCACTTTGCAGGAGCTAAGGTTTGTGCTAAGAAAGCTTAACTGCATATCATCCTTTTTCATGACCCAAGATTGGAAAAGAATAAAAAGAAATGTACAAGAAAAGAATGAAGCACCTGTAAAAAAAAAAAATCCTGAGTCACAAATGACGGCAAATATATGTATCCCAGGATAATGTTCCATGATTCAGTCTGGCTTGGTCACTGGGACCAGAGGTTTAGTCTTGTCAGCTTTCAGACCCATGCTGGAGCCCATTCTCAGGGAACTTCTCCCTAACAGGGTGTGCTTTGGGCTGTTCTGTGTGTGGTATTTATATGGTGCCTGTTGTATGTGGCTTTTTAGATGGTGATTGGGGTTTTGATGGCTGGCTATGAAGTCTTTGGCTGTTGTTTGCTTGTGCTGCCACCAGCTTATCAAGTACTTAAGAGGTGAGAGCTTGGCAGCACCTCTGGTCCCCGTGACTGACACAGATTGGATCTTGCAAAATGGAAAGTGTTTTGATTATCTCAACTGCAAACTAATCAAGGGGTCCTGAACATGAGGGTACCCAGCTGCCCCACAGTCCTCTAGGATTTCAAACAGTGTTCCATGGAATCCTAGAGTTCTGGAAAACTTTGATGGCTTCTCTGGGGGAAAAAACACAGCCAACACAGCCAATTTCTATCATTACAATTTTGCCTCTTGATCAAAGATTCTGAATTTCTGTTTGTTTTTCTTTTTAATAAATTCCACGGCCTGAAAAACTTGGGGAAACTCCTGCTCCAGTTATCCAGATTGCTGATTTTTTTTTCCAGGCAGTTTTCCTCTTTGTATCATTCTCCGAAAGCAGAATTTTATTCTTGTTATCTTATTTTGCAGTTGTAGATATCCCTGGAATAATAAAAGGAGCTCATGAAGACCGGGGGCTTGGTTTGGCCTTTCTGAGACATATAGAACGCTGCTGCTTTCTCCTCTTTGTGCTGGATCTGTCTGTGGCTGAGCCCTGGGCACATTTGGAAGCCTTGAAGCATGAACTGGAACAGTATAAAGTTGGCCTGTCAAAAACTCCTCATGCCATTGTTGCAAATAAGTTTGATCTTCCGGAATCCAAGGACAACTTGCCCCTCCTTAAGGAGCAAGTGAAGCAGAGAGTCATCCCACTCTCTGCTCTGACAGGAGAAAATCTAGAGGAATTGTTGGTGCATCTGAGAGAACTCTATGATGATTATCTGAAAACAGAAAAAAAACAGGTTCGCAAGCCAATGAAATGGTAGTAACAGAACTCTTCCATTATTACATTGAAATAGGGAGGATATTTGGAGTTTGGGCATGGATAGGAGGGACAGTTTCTAAAAGCAAAATAAAATTGCTTTTTATTCTTTAATGTTATAAGGAGATACACAGAGCTCTACCAGCAGAGTGCTATAGAAGCAGATAAGAAAGAATGGTCAATCTGCACAAACAATAAGTTAAGCAAAAGATGAGTCCACCCTGCAACAGAAAATGAAATGTTCTTAAACCTATTGAGACCTACAAGGCATAATTTAATCTAAGGAACATTCAATAATTTAATAAAGGTATGTTTGTTTTTGTTATGGCGTTTCTGTTCTCCCAATTCCACATGGACTCTAGGCAATTTACAAATTCTTTATAAGTATCAAATATAGCACCACATGACAACCACATGACTGCAAGGAATATAAATCCTTCCATCCTCCATGATTCAGTCAGAACTGAGGAAGCTTCTTGGACAAGAAGTGAAACATCCTCAAGTAAAAACAGTCTAGTTGCCTTTTGAAAAAGCCCCTTTGGGGGTTTGTAGGGCTTGTAAGTGATCAAGAGTATGGTGGCTCACATGGTTAGAACACTGCATGACCAGCCAGTGTTCAAGACCCAACTGCTGCTATGTAACAGGATGAGCTCCCGTAATTCACTCCAGTTCCTAGCAATTTGAACATGAATAATCACGAGTGGATAATAGATACCACTTTGGTGTACACATTAACAGGGATATAAATGAGTCCCCGGGCAATGGTGATGTCACCAGCTCATCCTTTCAAGCTGGAAGTCCCTCGGGGCTTCCAACACAAACATGAGCAAGTGATGACCAGTACTTTGAATTATATTCATTATATATAGTATTTCATTATATATAGTATTGCATGGCTCCAGTGGTTTGTACCTGCCAATGGGCTGCTACCTGCATTATGCACCAATTGCATTTTTCACGTATTCAATAGCCATAGCTCTTAAGACTTATATACCACTTCACAGTGCTTTACAGACCTCTAAGTGGTTTACAAAATCGGCCTATTGCCCCCAACAATCTGGGTTCTCATTTTACCAACTTTGGAAGGATGGAAGGCTGAGTCAACCTTGAACTGGTCAGGATCAAACTTCTGGTGGTTGGCAGTGAGTTAGCTAGTGCAGGTGAAGCTACTGATGATACAGACATAGGCACCAATGCTATGTTTTCCTACTACAGGTAGGTCCACAACTGGCGCTTGGTATTGTGGGAGGTCCCTCCAGTCTTGGCTTCCATCTGCCTATATCTGGCAGTAGCTGCAAGTGTAGACAGACATCAAAATCATGAATTGGTTCCTTAGGGGTCATCCTGTTTTGTCAGGAGTAATTCCTAAGGCAACTAGAGAGAGATGGTTTCTGGACAAACTACGTTCATCCAATGATAACATTTAAGCGGCCATCCTCTCATACAGGAAGGCATCTGGTACCCCCCAAAACCACCCAGATTCTTCCTATAGCCCAATCTATAAGGCACTCACAATAACATGCCTTGATCGGCATCAAAATTTCTCTGAGGAAATTTTGCCATTCCTCTCTTTCCGATGGCTATGGACCACATCTACAAAAAGATATTCACCCAGCGAAAAGCAAAGGCAAGTCACTTCCTTGGTCAATAGTTGGGGGCAGAATTGGAAGGCCTGATCGATTGCATTTTAGTAGTTACCTTTTGAAAGACAAAAAATCCTTCATACTGTCAGTTAAATTGCTTAGTTGTCTGTTAGAAGATGACAAAATGCTGTGCAGTATGGAAAGAATAAAAGGTGCTTTTTGCTATTCACTGGAGTGTTCCTTTATTTTTGTTGATTCTGCTTCCTTGATGGAAAATGTCAGAGCGGAAAGTTTGATTAATCATTGTTAATTAAAATAGCAGGTGGAGAAATGGCTGGCTCCCATACAATAATTCAATGCCATGGTTCCAATACTTATTAGTTTTTCTTGCACCTGCTGTGAGCAACACTGACAAACCTGCTATTACATTATCTATAAATTACTATTATTTTAATAGGACAACAGACTTATTTCTAAGGTGGTGTCACTCAACAAGGTAAAACAGACTACAGTTAGTCTTCAACATATATCCTGTGCATTACAGTTGTAAGTAACGACAGTTCTAAAGCAGGTCTTTGACATGCCCAACTCAATTTTACAACCCTGTGTGTGTGTTTCAGTGAACACTGGTCCTAAAGCAACTACTACAGTTGTTAAGAGAACCAACAGTTCACTATGGACTTGTTTTGTAGAAAACCAGAAATAAATGTGGGCTTTTGTCAAAAATGTTGTAAAATGTTATGTGGCTGTGGGATGCTGCAAGCAGCTATACATATGGGCCAGTTACCAAGCACCCAAAATTCAGTCAAGTGATTGCAGGTAGATTGCTATTAGAACTTCAGAACCTTGTAAGTACCTCTGAGGAGGTCAGATTCATAACTGTGAATGGTCATAAGTCAAGCACTATCTGTAAGAAACTCAGTATGGCTAGTCTAGGGAAAAGGGCTAGGGGTGACATGAAAACAGTATTCCAGTATCTGAGGGGCTACCACAAAGAAGAGGGGGGTCTACTTATTTTCCAAAGCACCTGAAGGCAGGACAAGAAACAATGGATGGGAAATAAAGTCAAGGAGCGAAGCAGCCTAGAACTAAGGAGAAATTTCTTGACAGTGAGAACATTTAGCCAGTGGAACAGCTTGCTTTCAGACACTGGGTGCTTCATCACTGGAGGTTTTCAAGAAGAGACTGGACAGCCGCCTATTTTAAATGGTATGCCATTCCAATCAAGTGGCTGGCCAGTAGTGGTGGGATTCAAATTGTTTTAATATCGGTTCTGTGGGTGTGGCTTGGTGGGTGTGGCAGGGGAAGGATACTGCAAAACCCCCATTCCCTCCCCACCCCACTAACCTGCTTTCCAGCTCCATTCTCCTCTGCAGGACAGCAAAAGAAGTCCCAGCTGATCAGCTGGGACTCAATGGGAGGCAGAGAATAGATGGGGGCGGGATCAGTCAGAGGTGGTATTTTCCAGTTCTCCAAACTACTCAACATTTCTGGTACCGGTTCTCCAGAACTAGTCAGAACCTGCTGAATACCACCTCTGCTGTCCAATCTCTTCTTGAAAGCCTCCAGTGACGACTGGACCCACGACTTCTGAAGGCAAACTGTTCCACGGCTTAATTGCCCTCACTGTTACGAAATGTCTCCTTACAAGAAGAAGAAGAGCAGAGTTGTAGAATGATTAACACATCACTATATAAATATTATACTCTTGTCTATTCATTGCATGTATGTAATACTTTGCGTATGTAATTTTTAGCCTTTTTTTTTCCTGTTGAGATTTTATTCTCTATTCAGAGTTGAATATATTTAATGTTCTACAAATGTACCACTATACACATGGAGCAAAACATGAAGGCATATTTGTCAGAAAAATAGACTTGGCGATTCTGCCTACATTCTGAAAGCAAAGGTTCAGGATCATTATTTATTATATCCCCAGATTCTGTGCAGCTTAAAAATCTCATTACCACATTTTGTGCCACTTGTAATTTCTGGGCAGTCATCAAAGGTACAGGTACAGGTGTTGCATTTTAGAGGTGGAGAAGACAGATCTTGCAGCCAAGGTCTTGATATCCTCTAGGAAATTCTTTCTTAGATTTCTTTTTTTGCTTCTTAACTCCCAATCATGGAAGTGCTTAAAAGAGAGAATTCTAGAAAGCCAAAACATTTTTACCTTTCTTCAAATCACGCCTTCTAAAATCTGCTCACAATTTCTTCACTCCTAGGTTCTAGTCTCACAAAACTTAGTAACTAGGTCTCCAAACAAGGAGCTAATTTATTAACATTTGTCCAATTTCTATTTTCTTCCTTGTTTTTCTGTGCCCGGTCTTAAATTATAAACTGCCTGGGCTAAGACTTACTGTTCCCTGATAGCAGTTTGCATTTGGCAAATGTCCAAGTACGATATGCCATACACATGGATCCTCCGTGTAGCAAAAGGGTTTTAAAAAAGGCCTTTCAGAGACAAGGGGGAAAAGATATTGGACATACAATCACAATTGAGCCCAAAATGTCTGTTTCTAAGCAAGACAGTCGTTAATTGAGTTTTGCCCCATTTTATGACCTTTCTGGTCACAGTTGTTAAGTGAATCACTGTAGTTGTTCAGTTAGAAACATGATTGCTTTATTTAAATCATTAGCTAAAAATTTATAATCTTGTCTTATCATCCTCACTCTCTTTGGAATTTGTTTTAAAATCCTAATTTCTCTGCCCTTATATGATATTGTTTCCTCCCTAGACATTTTCAAAATTAAATCCCTCAGACATCTCCTAGAGAAGCGGATATGAATTTCTCTTGGACAGTTGTTACGCCTGGCGTAGCTTGTGCTAACCCTATATACCTCATCAAACTCTTTAATTAGATCATCTTTTTCCTTTCCTAGCCATTCAGCCAATATTTCTGCCATCAAATGTTCCAATTCTTCATTTTTGGCTTCCGCCACATTCTGGAATCTTAAATACGCCATTGCTTTGTCCATCTCGAGGTGGATCAGAGAGTCTTCCGTTTCTCTAAGTACATTTTTAAATTCCTCATCCATCCTTTCAAAGTTAGACTCCATGCGTGTTGTTCTACTCTCTATATCTTTTATTTTCACTTCATTTCTCTCCATGGCCTGCTGTAGAGACCCTATCTTACCCTCCACCTTCGCTATATCCGCTTTCATTTCAGCCTTCATTTTCCCCATCTCATCTTTCAATTCGCTTATATCTGCTCTAGTTTCCTTGTGATTATTAATCATCATTTCTTGCATTTTAGATATAGCTTCCTACAAGGCTAATATGGAAGTTTGTATATTAATATTGGGGACATTGGGCTGCTTTTCCCCTATTAAAGACTCCTCGATAGTTTTTTGAGATGTTGGTGGGGTGGCTGTCAACATAGTCGATAGGGTCGGGATAGCCTTCTTTCCTGTTTTTAAGGCCATAGTTGTTGTGGATGTCATCTCTCTAAGTATTTGTTTTTGTTGATGCACAATATTAAATATATTATCCCAAATCACCATTCAGTATTTGGGTTCTGTACTTGAAAGACTATTCACGCAAGCATCTAAATTTTGATCACGTGGCCACGGGGATGCTGCAACCGTTGAAGTTACTCCAAGCAGATAATGGTAATGTTTTACATGCCCGATGGATTTCTCCCTCTCCCCTGGGGAAATTATGAGGTGCTGCTGTTATAATACCAGAATCAGAATTTTTACTCTTGGGTTAAGGATCAATGCAACAACCATTTTCACCCCTCAAATCTAGGTTTGGTAATCGAATTTGTACAAGTAATCCTCAACTTATGACCAGTCACTTAGTGACCATTCAATACCCCTCCCCTGTAGTCACATGATTGAATTTGGGGCACTCAGCAACCAGCTGCATTTACAGCCATTAAGAACTCTGGTGGCACAGTAGTTTGAATGCAGTATTGAAGCCTGACTCTGCCCACTGCGAGCAGTTTGATCCTGACAGGCTCAAGGTTGACTCAGCCTTCCATCCTTCCAAAGTCAGTAAAATGAGGACCCAGATTGTTGGGGGAAATATGCTGACTCTGTAAACCTCCTAGAAAGGGCTGTAAATCACTAGGAAGCAGCACATAAGTCTATGTGCTGTTGCTAAGTGCTATTGTAATCAACAATGTCCCGCAGTCACGTGACCACAGTTTTGCCAAAATTGGCCTTTATTTCCTGGTTTTCTACAAAATCATAGCAAGTCAAGCATTTGCTTAGAGACTTCAACAACCACTCTACAATTATTGTTCTAATGACTGCCAGGCAAAAAAATGGTAAAATCAGTTTGACTGAGCCCATTTACGACCGTCACAACTTGCAACCATAAAAAGAAGGCTCCTGACATAAAGTTGTATGTCAAGAACTAGGCAATCATTTTTTTTTTTATTGCTTGGTAGGATCTGTTTTCTTCTATTCATCATGGTTACCTCTTTTGTTTGATTGGGAAGAAGAAATTCATCGGTTTCTTTATGTATTAATTTGTAGTTCTGTACGACTGCAGAGAAAATAGGCCATGCAAAAGGTTAGAGAGAGCAACTTGAGCATGAGAAATATGCAAATTCATTTGTTAGGTTTTGTGTAAACCAGCCTGTGGGTTCATTGCCAATGATACTTTCGCATATTGAATTTTACAAAACATCGATGCAGAGTTTTTCTTTTGACATAAACATTTAGAATATTTGTATGCGTGTTGCTGTTTTCATACTGCTTCCTAAACTGAGGCACCCCTCCTAGTTGTTCGATGTTATCAAAGGTTCCACGCTTACTGAATCCATGATTTTCTGATATTACAAAACAGTGCAAGTGATTGTAAAACATATGGAGTGTATAGCAATTCATGTACCTCGTTTGCCTCTTGCAGTTCTTGAGCAAATTCACTCAAA